GTGATAGTACTGAACCTTTTTTTAAAAATTTGTTGTATTTTATACAGAATATCTCAAACAGTCTGAATCATCTTTATAGCCCCTGACTGGAACCTCTATTCTGTGTCCTGGGTGTTAAGGCCCACTGTGTCAAGTCAGTGTCCCCAGACATTCCCCAGTGCAAGTTTAGTCAGATCCCTCTCATCTATCCAAACACCCATCTTTTTTTTCCACAGAGCATAGGGTGGGGGTTTATTTACAGAGGAGTGGGTGCCCCCCATTTACGGCTGCACTGAAAAGTCCACACTCAAATATAGATCCTGTGACTTCCTGACAGCTGCACAAAGTAGTGAGAGAGGTGCCCCCTGGTGTTCTCAGATTATAAATCCTTAGCCCCTCCCCCGCATGCAACTGAGGTTGGCTGGTTGGGTGGGAGGGGTAACTGACCCCCCCCCTACTCCTTGATGAGTATGGGAAGGAGGTGTGACTATAGCTTGCTGGCATAGTGGTGGGAGTAAACTTCTAATTAACACTCCACCCCTTCCTCCGGCTCTTACATTCTTTCCACCAACCTTTTCTGCAAAAGTTCCTGAGCCCTGGAGGGGATGATAGGTGTGGGGTTATTTTCGTCCTATTGTGTCAAGGTGCTGAACTTTAGGGTCTCTGCATCATCAGTTTTCCATGGGCTGTTGGCCCATTTCAGTGGAGTTCTATCTACTATAAAAACACAAACAGCAAGGAGCAAGAACATCTAAACAGTGGCTGCTATAATAACCTAGGGGCGTAAACACAAATGCTTGGCTGAACTTTTTATGTACTGTTTTTTTCTATACATATTTTTATGCTGTTTCAGTTTGTAAATTAGATATAGTAGATGAACAACAATAATCAATAAAAAGATAATTGCAATAATGTGTTGAAATGAAAGTTACTTGAAATGTAGTTGCTCCTTCCTTCCTTCCGTCCCTCCCTCCTTCCCGAAAAATCTTAATATAAGTACTTTGGACCATGCTTGACTATAGGTAACTGATTCTGTGGAAAGCAAAATAGTGACCTAGGGCACTGCTGTATTGTGGCCTCTGAGCTGTGTGAGGGAGTCAGGAGGAAGATCATGGACAGGGGAAGAAGGATTAGTAATTATAGAATGGTGGTATTCAAAGATTAAAATATGGTCGTCTTGTTTTCCAAGAGCTTTATCTGTGGTCTACTTAAGAATCTGTCCTTTTGTATTCAGACATGTTCACTTAACTGTCTTATACCTGTACTTAGATATCCTCGTTAATATTTCTGATTGTAAGGCCTCCTTGGTCAGCCGAGTTTGGGAATGTAGGGAATTAGATGAAAAGAGGGAATATATGTACTGTCTGTACAGAAGACTAGAAATACCAAAAAGGAGGAATACTACTAGCCCTGCAAAAAAAGGGGCTGGAGTTGGTTCAGCAGTTAAGAGCACTGGTTGGTCTTGTAGAGGACCCTGGTTTCGTTCCCAGCACCCACATGGCAGCTAACAACCATCAGTGATTCCAGTTCCAAGGGCTCTGACACCCTCTCTGAGCTCCATGGACATTGCACTAAATGGGTGCACTTAACACACATGCAAGCAATACACTCACACATAAAATAAAAATTATAAAACATTTAAAAAAGAAAATGATTTTAAAAAGAAAAGTATTAATCACTTTCCTTCCAGATGAACAGAGACAAAAAAATTGACAATCCTAAACTAGTTACTTTTCTTTTCCTGTTTTTAAAAGTGCCAGTTGGGGAATGGAGAGATGGCTCAACAGTTAAGAGCACTGGCTGTTCTTGTTTTATCAGGGAGAGGAGCATGGTGAATTCAACTCATGTATCTAAGTATAAAAACAATATATAATGGTATTACTTTAAAGCAAGTTTAAAAAAAATAATTTATTGAGAATTTCATACTTGCATATAAGGTGTTTTGATCAAATCCATGCCCATTCCCTCCCTTTCAATGCCTCCCATATCTCCCCATCACTTTTTTTCTGATAACTTCATGTACTCTTTCTTCTTTGATTTGTTTTTTTATGGGATTTTTGGCTACTCTAACATTCTCCCCTCCAAAGAGGTAACCTTAAAATCTTTTAAGAATTAGAAAAAAGCTCCCAAATATTTTCAACATTTTTGGCCTTTGGAATGGAGTAGGTTGCTAAGAGGCCCAAGGACATTGTGAGTTTTAGCCAGGAAACTGACTACTTTTCTTTGGGGTCTTTTGACCCTTACTGCCTAGCCAATTCCTACCTCCTATTCTTATCACACCATCCTCTGAAGAGGTTACCCAAATTGCCATTAGGGAATTGGGACGTGGACCACTCTGGCTTCTTCCATGCTGAACAGGGATACAGGATGAGGCACTTGGAGTACCCCTTCAGTGGGTCTATCTAAAAGACTCCCAAATTGTATAACTCTTATCTTGAGGAGGAAAAGAAAGTCTTTGAATCATGACTAGGAGATGTGAAGAAGTAAAGGCAAAAGTAATTCACATTATAAGTTCTAGACAAGGAAGTAGAAACAAGTCAGAATAGGGCAATTTTCAAATGTTCATATGAGAGTCCATTGGAATTTCTTGACAAGGGCTTCCAAAAGCATCCCTCTATTGGGTTCTTCCTCATTTTTCTTTTCTCTTCCAAGGCTGGACTCTAGAGCGATAGATTTAGGATTTGATAGCTGTTGGAGTGGTTAGAATCAGTGTCAGTTCCCTCTCAAAGGCTTCTAGATAGGGGGAGAAAACAAATTTATCCATCATTTTAGAACAATGGCTGGTTGTCTCCCTTAGCTACAGGTGGGCACTACGGTATTGCAGGCAAGATTTGAAATCTTACGTCTGAGCAGCACTTTCTGGTTAGGAACAAAATCATCAATGAGAAATAATTATCTAAATAACTTTTTATATAGACTTAAGCCTAATGTCTGGGAAGTATAATCCCTTGGACTCTTATTAAAGTAATACACTTATGACTTTACTCTTTGGTTATACTGTACTTTTGGGTGTTTAAGACCATACAATTGGCCCAAATAAATCAATTTATTTTTACACTTAAGGTCATTTGAGGATCTGTTCCTCAGGGATCACATGGGCTCAGGAGGAGCTCCTGGCTCCTTTTACCAGTTCCATCTATGTGAAGATAAGTCAAAGGTCCTGCATGACCATTTCTGGCTTCACTTGGAAGCATGAATGAGATGTTTCCTCTTAGTTGATTCTCCTCATTGTAGACTAGACACTGGCTCAAGTCCATCTTGTGGGGTCTCCATGGCCTCCCTGCACCACAGTTACAGGACATTTTGAGAGATGTTCCATAGTACCCTGGAACTTAGTCAACCTTGGAGGGCAAGGGGCAAACACTGTCCTTTGAGTCCCTCTGACCAGATTAGTATAGGCCTCAAGTTATGGCTGTTAAACATCCAATAAGGTTAGTTCCACCAGTCTGGTACTTTTAATTATCGTGTGCTATGTAGATAAAGCTTGGGTGAAAAATCCAAATATTCTCAGATAAACCTTAACTAGATATATATTTTGTTTCTTAAACTCGTTGACTAAACTATGACCTTAGAAAATTTAAGATTATGTGTGTATTATTTCTGTCTCATCCTTTATATGTCATAACAAACCTAAACAGGCCTTCATCACTTGCTTAGGCTTTCTCATTTAAAAAATATCTCCATTCCCATATCCTTTTAACATCTTTTACATTCTCGTTTTCTTTTTTTTAAAAAAATAATTATGAGACATAATAGCATTAACAAATACACTTTCCATCTGTTATGAGACTTCTTTTCCTGGGGATGCTAAGCAATGCTTATTCCCTTTCAAGGTTCTAGTGTCAAGTCAATGTTTGATTAAAGTTTTACTGGGGAACCAATGAATTTATTGAGCTTACTTACTGAGATAACTGAGAGGTTACTGAGGTGTATGTATGACCTGATGGTGCATACTGGAAAGCCTTTACCCAGCATGGGTCATGCCTTCTCTTCCTAGCCTTCCCTAGATTGTATATTTTAGCCCTCCCCAAATCCAGGAGACCATATGTGATTAGGGCTAAATTACATACAGTTGGCTGGGAAGAGTGGCTGGATAATCCAGTGAGGGTCCAATGACTCTGCTTGGCCCTCCTTTAATGAATGAACACAACTGTCAAGAAGCCCAATTTTGATGATGTTTAGTGATCATGCTCAGCTGAAGTCATGATGGTAGTTATTTCATGCAGAAGGAACTGCTGTATAGTATCATCTTATTAAAAGAACCTGCAATTTAAAAGGGTTTGGTTCTAGGATCCACATATGAGGGAGAACATTAAGGCAAGTTTTTGACTTGCAGCTATTACTGGCCTTCCTAACTTACATAATTCCTATTTAGTAAATTTGTTGCTTTTGAAAAACCTTTTACTTAAGAGTAGTTAACAGCACTCGGGAGGCAGAGACAGGCAGATATATGAGATTGAGGCCAGCATGGTTTACATAGAGTTCTAGTCCCACTGTGGATATAGGGAGACCCTATCTCTAAAAAGAGGCTCCCCCAAAAAAGAATAGTTAATAAGTTGGAGAGGTTGCTCAGTGGTTAACTGCCCTGCTCTTACAGAGGATCTTAGTTCAGTTCAGCATCCCTGTCAGGCAGCTTATACCCTCCCGCAACTCTGTCTTCAAGGGGATCCAGTGCCATTTTCTGGCTTCCATGGGCACCCACACACATGTGACTTACATTCACATAGACACACACACCAAAAAAATAAAAAAAATATTAAATCTTCAGTTGCTTTAAGAAATAGATTGTAAAATTTAGTATCAATGAATTTAACATAGTTGGCTTTAGTCTTATGAAACAAACTAGCTGTTTAAAAATTTGTGTCTTTAATTGATTTTGAAAGTTTATTGATATGAAAGATTTTGGAAATCTTAAGTATTCCATTTACTTTTTCTTTATCAATGCAATATGTTACTTTAATTTATGGATGTTTAGAAAATATGTTTCCTTTAAGTTGAAAAAGGAATATTTGCAATTTTAGAAAAATGTCAAGAGGAGAAACAGGACACTTTTGCAGAAAAATTAATTACTCAAATCATAAAAAATCTTCAAGTGAAAATTTCCAGTATCCATATTCGTTATGAAGATGATGTAAGTATTTTAATAGGTGATTCAAAAATATAACCATATGTATTTATTTTACTGTTTATCAGCTCTATCTGTGTGGTAGCCACCCTATTAAATACTGGGAGGTGGAAGGACAGAGAGCTGAAGAGGATATGATTTGTCTTTTTTTTTTTTGGTCCTTTTGAGACAGGATCTCTCTGCAGCCCCAGCTGGCCTGAGGCTAGCTATGTACACTGGGCTGGCCTTGAACTCACAGAGATCCACCTACCTACCTCTGCTTCCTGAATGCTGAGATTAAAAGCGTGCGCCATCATGCCCAGCTGTGATCTGTCTTTTTTATAATAATATTTTTAATTTATAGTCTTTAGTGAGTGATACCTTCCTTAAGGCTCAATCTTTGGATCATGAAGGGGAGTTTTTCAGTAGTTAAATGAATTTCACATATGATTATTTTTACATTCTGAAAAGAGCACTGATTTAGGAATCAGTAGAGCAAAGCTTAACTTTTGATCTTAAATAATTTATTATAGTCTTAAACACATAATTAGTTGCTGTTCCAGTTTCCTTTCTGTTGCTGAGATAAAATCACCTGACACCCCTGACAAAAGCAGCTTCAAGGCAGAAATATTTTAGTTCTCTTGTAAGTCCAGGTTACAGTCCATCATTCTGGGAAGTCAAGGCAGGAACTTGAAGCAGCTGGTCACATCCACAGTCAAGAGCAGAAAGAATGAATGCATACAATACCTGTACTCAGCTTGCTTTCTGCACTCTCATATAGTATAGGACCCAAACTCAGGGAATGGTGCCACCCACAGTGGGCTGAGTCTCCTCATATCAGTTCACTTTATACAGATGATCTCTCCTAGACATGCTCACAAGCAAGCTGATTTTGACAGTCTCTCATTGAGACTCTCAGGTGATTCTAGATTGTGTCAAGTTAACAATTAAAAATAACCATCCCAGTTGCTTTACAACATTACTGTGCCAATTTTTAATAAACATTCTGCAAATAATAGTATTCTAGTAAATTAATAAATATCAAGCATTTAATTTTGTTTTAGGAAAAATACAGCAAAAATTCTGAAAAATATTTTTGAATATTTGAAATGATAACTTCTCAGAAATTTTAATTTTTCCTATAAAGCAAGTTTTGTCCAACTGATGAAACGTTTGAGTAATTTGCTTCTTTTTTGTTTAGATCACAAATCGAGACAAACCGCTCTCATTTGGTATTTCTCTTCAGAATCTCAGCATGGAGGTACTTTGTTTAAAAAGGAAATGTAACCATAATTAATTATGTCATAAAGCTAGTCATATTACTGATTATAATATATGAATACCAGCATCAGAAATATACCAGGTATGTGTTTGATTCACTGTATAGAATTGTTAGACCTGATTGGAATTGAGAAGTAAGTAGATGCTCATCTTTAAAACTGTAAATTTTAAATTTCCACTGATATTTTACAAGGTTCTTCTGTAAATTCACTTTGTAATTTTGCATTGTTTTTCAATTTTATTTGTGCTGCCACATATAATACATCTTCTGTGTGATTTTGCGTACAATTTCTTTTAAAAATGTGGCCCTATTGCAAGTGAAAATTAGAAAAAAAAAAAGCTAAATGAAAGATTTTTACTCAGGAAAAGTTGATAGTATATGTTGTCAATACTATTGGTAGATTGAAAAATGAGAATAAAGAATTATGATTTCTATTTGATAATATGAAAATCATTGATACCATAACAATAGATGCTTTAATTATCACTTCTGGAGGTTATTGGAAAATTATTATTATTGCTATTATGTAGTCCTGGGGCTTTGTTAGGTAAGTGCTGTTCTGCTGAGTCATATCCCCAGCTTGAAATCTATGTTTTAAATATCCCTTCTGGTCATCATAATGCATACTAAAGTTTTGGAGCCACTAGTTCAGCTCTCCACACAAACATATGAACTATCTCTTAAAACAGGGGTCTGGTTAAGTGGGATGCCACACGTCTGTACTCAGTATTCTGGAAGCTGAGGGTAGTAGGCATGAGTTCAAGGCCAGCTTGGGCTACTTAGCCAGAAACTGTCTCAAAAGAAAAATGCATAAGTTAATAAGAATTTTCTTATTCTGTTTTCCAGGTTTATTTTTTTGGTTTTGCTTTTGTTTTGTGTAATTTTTTATTTTTAAGTGTTTTTATTTAAACCTGAGCCTTATATGTTCCTTGGAAAGTATTCTAGCACTAAATACACCTCTTGCCTTTTGATTAGTCTTGGAATAAAATCTATAGTTTCGTCTTTACATTATTTAGAAAACCTTTGAAATCTGACCCTGTTTAACATGATGTGGTTTTCACTCTGTTGTGTTTTATTCTCTGTAATGTCTTGGGGTGTTTATTATATCTTACTGCTCTGAATCTTATTCCCTCATAACCTTACAATAAAGTAGTTTCTATTCATGTCAGATTGATTAGGAATAATCTTAAGATTGTACTTTCAGGAATAATTGCAATAAGATTATTTTAGGTTAGTCATCATTTTATCTGGCATATACTCAGGTTTTGATGGACTTGTATATTCTGCCATGTATTAGACTTCCCATAGTGGCACTTACCTGTTTGTAAGTTCTTTTTTATCTTTGTTTTTGACCAAGAATGAGTTCCTTTAAAGCAGAGACTTTGTTGGTGATCAGTTAATAGAAGTTTTGATTATGTGTCTCTTAATATTTTGTCTGTATGAGCTTTGCTTGCATGTGTGTTATGTGCATGCAGCACCCTCAGAGGCCAAAAGAGGGCATTGAATCTCATTGAACCAGAGTTACAGACGGTTGTTAACTACCATATAGGTGCTGAATGTAGGTCTTCTGTAAGAGCAGTCAGTGCTTTTAAAGGTTGCACTGTCTCTCTAGCCACAAATAATTTATTTTCAAAGTCATTTTCATGGGAAATTAGTCTTAGGATATGATAATGACCTCTTATGGCTAATATTTTTGCTGCTGTTTTTTTTCTTTTCGCCAGACCACAGATCAATACTGGATTCCATGTTTGCATGATGAAACTGAGAAATTAGTTCGGAAGGTAAAACAAATACTAGCCCATGGAGTTGAAAGAGAGTTTTAGAAAGATGAATGTTTGTGAGTGTGTGTTGGTGTATGTATAAGAATTTATGTGAATTATGCTTCTTGCTTAACTTAGCATGTGGCTCAATTACTTGAGACTTCTGAAAATACTACATGTTAAAATGCTTTAAAAAATATCAGCCATGTAATAAACTTGATTCATTTCCAGCTAATCCGATTGGATAATCTGTTTGCCTACTGGAATGTGAAATCTCAGATGTATTATCTAAATGATTACGACGAATCATTGGTAAGTAAATATTTGTGCACACATTTTTGTTGGTATAATATTTTGTACAATGTGTAATTTGTTGTTAATAATCTAACATTAAAATCAGTGTTGTTTCTAGACAAAATTTATTAGAATTTGGAGATTTGCACAGACACGTGTGCTTGTAAACACATGAACATCTTAATAGCTCCTGGAACATCCTTTCCTAATAGTTTATGATATGTTGCTTTACCTTTAAAATTTCACCTTGGCTGTTTGAACCATTTTTAAAAATTGCTTGTAAACATTTTCCCTTGTAGATGTAGGATAAAGGTATATTACAATGAATATAAATAAAAATAATTTGTCTTTGAATAGGACAACTTGAAGAGTGGCATTGTCTGTGGAAATATTGTTCCAGAAGGTTATGACTTCGGTATGTTATTCCATAAAATAAAACATATAATCAGCATAATCAGTATAAACTTTTAATTAACAATATTATTTAAATTAAAATCACTGAATTATTTTATGTTAAATTTGGGGGAGCTAAATATATTAAAATATATGTAAAAGGGGTTTGAGGGATGGCTCAGTGGTTAAGAGTACTGACTGCTCTGACAGAGGACCCACATTTGGTTCCCAGTGCTCATATGGTGGCTAACAACCATCTCTAACTCCAGTTCCAGGGGATTCAGTGTTCTCTTCTGGCCTCCACTTGCATCGAATGCATGTGGTGTACTTATGTACATGCAGGCAACACATTCATACGCTTATGATAAAAAAATTTTAAAAATGTATATGAAAAAGCAAAGTATACTTTTCTACAAAAGAAAAATATTTTTGTTTTTGGAAAACAACTACATTTAAAAGCCACTGGGGAAACTAGCAAAAGAGGATGTTAATAAATTATAAACATGGGGCTGGAGAGATAGTTCAGCAGTAAAAGCACTGGCTGCTCTTGCTGAGGGCCTGGTTTGATTCCCAGCACCCACATGGCAGCTAACAAATGTCCTAACTCCAGTTTCAGGGGATCTGATGCCCTTTTCTGATCTCCACAGGCATTGCATGACATGAGTGCACTTATATACATGCAGACAATACACTCATATAAAATAAAAATAATGAAATAAAAAAATTATGATAAAACTTAAGGATTATATCAATTAGTGTACTATTATTAAGACATTTTGTAATAGCATTCATTTTAATAAAACTTACTGGAATAGCCTTAGTGGTTTTATGCACTTCCTATTTGTAAAATGTTCAACTAATCTTTTTTCTTCTGAGACTGTCTCACTCTAGCTCACACTGGCCTCATATTCAGGGCAATTTTCCTGCCTCTGCCTCTCAGATGCTGGGATTAAGGCATAAACCACTGAGGACTAGGCTTAAAGTTTTTCTTTTTTTTTTTTTTCTGTCTTCCAAATTTTTTAAGTGAACATTATATTACTTTTATCAAGAGAAAGAAGTTACTAATACACAGCAAAGAGGAGTGATTTTTTTTTTTTAAAAACCTTGGGAGTACTCAATAAATGTTGATTGATGATGTTTAACCTAGTTCTTGAATTTGGCTGCCTGATGTCACAAACGATATATTATCTTTCCGCGGAGGTTTTCTTCTCTTTATGTAGTATTAAACTCTTCTTTACGTGTTGTTTTCTGTTCATGATTACCTTTTAATTTCCTCAGATGGCTCTTCTGCCAACTCTCGTGGGTTTTTGAAATTTTTTTTCAGCGATATATTACTCTTTTCACTGAGCTACATGCCCAGCCCCTTGTGTCAAAAAAATCTTACTTTCATTATTTTGAACTTAGTTTTATTCTTAATTCGTTCTTCATAGGAAACATGAGGTCAAACGAATTAGATATCTATCATGCATGTTTATGATTCTCAAATCTATTTAGATTTGACTTCTTTTTCCCCTGCCCTACGCTGTTGTTAGTTCTGGTCCAACACGGAAAGAAAAGAATTAGCAACAGAAAGGGGATTGCCGTAACAGGATCAGCTGGTACAAAGTAGAAAGAGATTAAAGAACACAGGAATGGTAGATGAAAACAGTCATCCCTATATTAGGGTTTCTACGGCAGTTTCTAAAGACCCTAACCCACAGGACTGAGATCTAGATCTTGTTGGAGAGGATATAGCCATTGTTGAGAGCTAGGAAGGTCAAGTCGTGTTATCAACACTTGTTGGAAATCCACCTTTGTAACTCATGGAGCTGTTACATCTCTTTGTCTGTGCTCCACTGCAGAACTGCCTTAGCAGGGTCCTGTAGGAAGCTGTTGACGCTGCCTGCTGCTGCCTGCTATACACTGCAGAAGGCTGAAGGTGACATTGGAGAAGCTGCCTGTTCTATAAGAACTAGATGTAGAGACATGTTGAACGAGCACACTGGAAACCTACAGTGCAGCTTCCTTTCTGCTGCATCTCTTCAGTATTTTTCTACAGATGTACCTTAATACTATGCCAGTTGCATAGTATTTTGAGAACTGAAAACTGTTATTTTAGAGCAGGCAATAAAAAGGGAATTTGGTGCTCAGAGGCAGTAGATAGCTACATACCTGCTAAGGGAGGGAAAGGGGACTTGGTGGGTCTCGTCCTCCTTCTGCCCCTCTCTACCTTTTGTAGTTAATGTGAGAAATGATAGATTTTTTCATGCTGAGCTGATAATAATCCAGTAGAACATAAAAAATTAGTGATGCTAGAGATACTGGAAAATTTCTGGATTGACGTGGGACAAAGGATTGATATTTGTCATGTAAAGGAAGAGTTTTGTTAGGGATAGGACATGTCACTTCATATTTAAGGTAGAATTTAGTTTTAAGAGAGTAGTCTTGGGGTTGGAGAGATGGCTCAGTGGTTAAGAACACTGATTGTTCTTGCAGAAGACCCAGGTTTGAATCCCAGCACCCACATGGCAGCTAACAGCTGTCTGTAACTCCAGCTGCAGGGGATCCAACAGCCACTTCTGTCCTCCATGGTCATTGCACCACTACACAGGTGCACTCACCTATGTGCAGGCAATACCTGCATACACATAAAATAAAAATAATAAAAAAGAGAGAAGTCTTGATATTGACTAGACAAATAGATCTGGTATAGGAGTTAGTATGCATGTATTTTTTTTTATTTATTTTAATTAAAAGAAGCATTTCATTACAACAGCATTAACCTATTCAATAACATTTTTCTGAGCTAGGGTACATCTCTTTCAAAATTGGCTGTACATTT